AACATTGGAAAATTATATGTTGTATTAATCACAACACGAATATAAACACAAAATATGGGCCTCCTTTAAGTTGGGCCTTAATCTAATCCTACAATACATAATACAAACAACTAGATAACTAACACTCCCCTCAATCTCAAGGTGGTAGAGTAGAGATCAACTTGAGTTTGATAAAAAGTAAACAAAAGTGATCGGGAAGGAGAGAATTCGTGAAGTCATCTGTTGTATGATCTAGAGCCGGCCCTGGACATTTTTTGGCACTGGGCCAAATGCTAAATAGTGGCTTAAGTGTATATATATAGGATGTGGTTCAAATGAGAACCTAGTGTGAGAACCGTGAGAACTGCTAATTTTAATTGTAAGTATTGTTATGATTGATTGTGTTTTAGTGTTATTTTTATTTTATTAAAAATAGCAATAATTTTTTTATTAACATTTGCGAAAATGATAGCACCATGCAATATTAAATAGCGTCATCCACAATTAAAAATAGCATCGAATATGGTTTTTGCGGTTCTACACCAGACTTAGTTTTTATTTGAACCAGCTCAAACGTCCCAATAATTATTTTACTAAACATATTAATTTATATAAAGGCACAACCTCATCATAATAGCTCACAATTCATCGCATGTATAAAGGTTATTGACGGACTTGCATTTTCCAATAGATAGTACCTTGAGTGCTTTTACAAAATATTAATGTCTCAATATAAATTTCAAACACATCAAATAATTAACTGGGAATCCAAACCCTTTTTAGCGGGAAAACTATAGTAGTAGTAAAATCACTACAAAGTTTATTTAGAATTTTTAGCGAAAAAATTACCAATTGTATCACCATAATTAAAATATCATGTAATATCCTTCTATTGTATAGATTAATTAGTTGCTAATTTTGATATGGTTCACTATTTTAAGTGGTTTTTATATGTCATGAGAATGATTTGTTTTGTAGTTCAAACATGATGATATGTTAACTAAAGATTAATAGTAAATGAAACAATAATTAAACTAATATCAAGATTATCTTAAATACATAAAATAATCTAAATTTATTACAACATTAGTTATTATTGATCTTTTGTTAATTTACGGTTATGTTTGAGCTATAAAACAAATAACTCTCACAATACATAACTAAAAAAAGGTAAAACATATAAAAATTACAAATCAATCATAAATAATCACAAAATAAATACTAAATATATTTAAACTTTTATACAGCAGCCTTAAACCACACAATGTTATTTTAAGGAGTTAATTAACTATAATCTATAAATTAATTATAATGGTCAATCAAAAAATAATATAAATTGTTAAAGTAAATAAGATAAATATGTATAAAATGATAATGCAACTAGATGTCATAGATAATTAAGTAGAGTATAAAGAAAGGGATAAGTAAATGATGGAGATAAAAGGTCGGGTAGTTTTGGTGTGTGTGAGAGAACTATGTTATAGAAAATAGAAAAAGTAAACTTGTGGGATAGTGTGCTAAAAGTTGGACATAATATGAACAATAAATGCTTGTAAATCTCCACTTTTTTTAATTGTAAAAATAAACTAAAAGCAATAAATATATAGTTATAGCATTACATATGGGCCAGTGCCCCTCCCACGAATTGGGCCTTGGGCCATTTTCCAGGTCGCCCTGGGTTAGGGCCGGCCCTGGTTTGATCCGTAGAGGAGACAGAGACAAGTTCCACAATCCTATGTGCAACATGTTGTCGAATGAAGTGACAGTAAATATCAATATGTTTGGTACGCTCATGAAAGGTATTATTATGAAACATCTTTATAGCAATCTGACTATCACAATGTATAGCAGTAGACGACGACTGAGGGGCACCGAGATTAATAAGTAGCCAACATAGCAATAATAGCTCCGAGTTGGAATCAACAAAAGCACGGTATTCAAACTTAGCACTCGATCTAGAAACTACGGTTTGCTTCTTACTTCACCAGGAGACGAGTGAATCACCAAAAAAAAAAGAGTGCCCAGTAATGGAGCGACGATCAGTAGGATCTCCAGCCAAGTCTGCATCAGAGTAGCCGCTAAGAGTCAAGGAAGAACGGACCGATAAGTGTATACCATGCAATAGTGTGTCCTTCACAAAGCGAAGGATGTGCAACACAGCAGAATGATGCATCATTCTTGGAGCAGCAGTAAACTGACTCACAATATGAAGAACACGAGCTACATCGAGCTGAGTGACAGTTAAATAGATCAAACTCCCAACAAGCTGGCGATATAATGTCAGATTCTAAAAAAGAGAACCATCAAGTGGAGTAAGACGAACATCATAATGAAGAGGTGTGAAAGCTGTCTGGCAATCAGTAAGACTGGCTCAAGCAAGAAGACATAGGCATACTTGGACTGAGACAAATAAAATTCATCAGAGGAATCAGATATCACAAGACCCAAAAAATGGCGAAGCTGACTCTTCATCTCAAAATGTTGACGAAGATAGTCATGTAAATCAGAAATGCCGAAGGCATGGCAGGTGGAGCCACTTCAGAAAGACAGGATCAGAAGCGGACTCAATATAAAGCATCGGTTCATGATGGATATGATTTCAAGAATAACGAAGTCGATTTTTCTGTGTTTTCTTTTTGTTTCTTTCTTTTCTCTGTTTTCCTTTTCGTTCTTGGTGTGCAGGCCGAGAGCTTCGAGTGGATATGATTTGAAGAATAAGTTTTCCGTACAAGCATAATTAACTATAAGGGTTCGTTGCTGACGCGAAGAAAAAAACGACACTCAATACCGAGTTCGGACGAGCTCAAGCGAACCTAAAATGCAAAGTCGCACAGCCCAGTCCTTAGCGGCGCTGGGAAAGGCCGAGCAACCCCTTAGCTACCCAGAGAGTTCTAGCATCCCAGACCTTAGCCGCGGTAGGGGGCCTACAACCGCAAACCCCAACCCGACTAGATTTTTATAAATCTCAGTTTTACTCGATTATTCAAACACCTTTGATTGGGACTCGTTCCCAAAACCAAAAAATACCTACAGACTGTTTTTTTATCAGTTTTTCACCCCTAAAACATCGAATATTCATCTCGTTTTTTTATCTTGGAGAGTGACACTCTAAGATTTGTTTCCAGATTAGGCTTGTAGTTTGGATTTGTCGCTTGATTTCGTATTAATCGTAAGTACTTCATTTCATTTAATTTGTGAATTGGATGGCTTAAGTTAATGTGATTATGTATGTTGAATTCAATATAAATAGATATATCTGCTTGCTAGGGATATGCGGTAATTGTTCTTGTTCGTTCGTATTTTTCGGGCTTTAGTTTGTTCATTCTCATGCGAGTTGATTTAAAAGGATTGTTAGCTTTATTGCTTGAATGTTGAATATAATAGCAGAATGACACTTCAATCTTGCAGTTGGGTCCAATTAGATATTGTTCTTTTGAGTTAGAGTTTTCAATTCTAGATGACTAGTCGGCTAATCATCTTCTAATTTAATTTAACAACTTTTAGAACCGAAAGGGGAGAAGTTGTAGACTACGCTCGCAAGAGATAGATTATTTCGTAAAAGAATAGTTTATAGGTATTTTTTGGATTGAAATACACACTAGTTTACGTCCTTTACCTTGTTACGGAGAATTATTGGAATCGGACCTTGGGCCGGTGTTTTATGGTTGAACTTGCTCATTTATGTTCAATCCCTTCTTACAAAAAGTTATTGGGAGCGTACCGCTAGATGTTTAAGCGAGAGTGTCAATCTTGAACCGAACAATTATTTGCCTGGTTTTGCGTTTAGGACAGAATAAATTATCACCGACTCCCTAACTCCGTTATCATCGTTTGATTCATGTTTTTGAGTTGACTTTTGATTTTGCATTTTTTGATTTTTCTTAGTTGATAACTTAAACCAAATCTTCTGAATTTGAGTGTTTAGAATTTATTTACTTTTGCGTGCAATCAACATTGAATCTAGATTCCGAATCGCCTTCCACGAGACACCCGAGGTGGGGACTCATCACTTACTCGGTAAAAATATAATTTGCTACAACACTAGTATTGCCAAAATCAAAAGAAGGTGGCTATAAATGCCAATCCGTATAAGTTATTGGTAGTTTTTGCAATTTAGCCTATTGCATGGAGTTCTCACTAGTTCATTAGTACTAGCCAAAATAATATTAAATTGTAACGATGGTAGTAATTAAGTCGCGTAGCAAGCAATTCCTTGAAATACGACATCTTGCTCGTCATCACCTATCAGACTATAACTAATCCTTACACTTGTTCATTAGTTGATTATTTTACATAGTAGATAAAACAAAATTAATAAATTGAAACTTGTGGGAAAAAAAGTGGAGAAAAAACATCGTAAATTCTGGTATCATTTCGTGACGGGATTGTAGTCAACTCTACTTAAATGTTCCCTTGAATTTTTTTTTTCTTTTAAATGATATCCATGTTTTTTGACTAACTTAAAACAAATTTAAAAGGTAACAAACTTCTTATTTTTGGTTGAGAACATGGTGTATATTGACCTACTCACATCAGTATTATTTCAATATAGATAGAATTTGCCCTCATACATGTTGTACCAATTATCTTTCTTATCAACCACATAAAATAAATTGCAGCACCCAAAATATGGGTTTGTAGATTTTTGTTTATCAAGAACTGAGCCAGCTTTTTTATTACATCACTTTATTTAATATGCTCCATACTAAAACAAACGAGGTCGAATGAAACCAACTAATGGGTCCTAAAATGTAGGGTAAATTACAACATAGACAATTGTTTGTCATACATTCAAACACATAAAAGAAAAAAAGAAAAAAAAAAACTTTGACCCCTCATAAACCACCTAGAGACCCCTTCATTATTCAATGGTCTCAATTCCAAAACATTTCATATTTTTTTTCTCCTCTTTATCCTCGTGTTACCCTCCATTTTCTGGGTCCTCCTCTCTCCCAGTTCATGCATGTATTTACAATTTATTTATTTTCTTTTCCTTTTTCTTGTAAATAATAATAATAGTTATGGGGTGCAGTGTTTCAAGGTTAGATTCACACGGGCACCCGTTCTCGGCTAGGCTCCGCCCTCTCCTCCTCCAGCGATTCGATGAGATGAAGGCCCGACGCCACCATGTGGGCCACCCTCTCAAGGACCCCACCCCCTCCAAGAAAGAGCTTCTATCTTCAGATGATATCGATAAAAACACTGACGATGATATTAATGATCATCATCCCATGATCAAACCCGAACAAGAACCTCTTAACAAGAATCATAATAATAATGATGGACGCTATAAAGATGAGGCGAAAGAGGCAAAAGAGGATGATGTTTTCATGGATGCAGATGAGGATGTGGAAGGTGATGACAATGATGATGTTGATGATGATGATAGCGATAGTGAAAGTGAGAGAAGGATCGGACATAGAGAAGATGATGCATTTCCTGGCTCTCCTAGTTTTCGTGTTTATTTTAAGGATAATGAAATAGAGGATGGCCATGTTGGGCTTGGTAATTAATTATTAAGGGCATTTTTTTTTGTCTATTTTTTTAGTGAGGATGATAAATTTGAGATATTTTTTAACAAGTGCAGGTAAGAATGATGTCTTCAAGAAAAAGTTGGTCTCAAAAGAGGAGGTAACGTCGTCAAAGGTAAATATTTGATACAATCAGAGAATGAAAGAGAAGAAAGAAAATAAAATCAATGAACATTATAGCTAGGAGAAAGTATTAATAGCCTCTGTACAATTGATGAAGTGAATAAATTCCCAACCAAATGAATTTTTGATTTCAATGATGTTTTTATTTTCGACAAACATATGCCAGACACTTTATTTCATATAAGCACTAAAAAAATTTATTTGTGCTACAGGAGTCATCTGTGGAGAAGAAAGTGAAAAAAGGAAAGAAAAAAAGGAGTTTCAGAAAGGTGCTACCAAAGAATTTGTTGGGCGTGAAATCTTGCTACACACCATCTCATTCTCATGCATCGTCCCTTGACAACTCCCAATTACTTGTGGAAAAAATGACCACATAATTTTCATACGATCTGTGCATGCTGAGCTGAGAGGGAATTAATGAACGACTTAAAGCCCTGAAATTTTTGCTTCGGGTTTTTTTTCGTTATCTTTGTATGTCTTCTCTTCCATCCCTTTTTTTTAGTCTGTTATCTTCTTCATAAACAGTAAAATTTACAGAGTACACAATGATGGTATGAAATTAATATGATGCTTGTGAGAAATTAAGGCATGTTGAATAGAGTTTGAACTAATCATATACTATATTGTTGTTTGATATTACATTCATGTGTTGCACATATTTTAGAGAAGGTTGGGTTAGCCATCATAATGACGAATGGAAAATATTTTATTACGACATTTTGAAGTGTTCTCAAGTCTCAACCATGATATGGATATGCTTGCACAATTTTCAGGCATATTGGGCATAACAAGTAAAAATTTTGGTGTAAACTCACAAACTAGGTACGCTAAAAAATCAAATAAGGCAATTTTTTATACTTCCCATAGAAGAAATTTAATTTCTACTCTTAGGTTTTATAATGGTTCAGGGGAGAATACTATATTAGATTTTGGATTTATCTAATTCCACTAGATCTGTTTTAAAAAAGAGGATCAAAAAATGAAAGAAGATCACTTGTTTACACAAAAAAAAAAAAAAAAAACAACATTTTTCTTAGTGAATCAAATCCAATAAAATGTCACAGTTTTTGCTATGAAGCCAACTTTCTATATACAACAAGTAAACCTACTATATTCTCTGATAACTTAAATACCACTAATATAATTTTATTAGAATGGTAGGTTTATTTGTTGTATATAGAAGGTTGACTCCACTAAGGAGTCAATTATTGGTTTCGGAGCAAAACCGTAAAACGTCATACATTTATACATGTTTTGACACTAGGCAAATATTATGTTAAGACATCAAGAATAGTTTGTGGATCCATAGAATTCATACAAGGAGCAACTAGTGTCATTATTAAAGCGATAGTAATCTTATACCACTATACAAAAAATGTCATATTCCAATGGAAAATCTTACAATAATATATTCCAATAAAAAATTCCAATGGATATCCCAATGGTGTACCTTCCGTTGGAATTAGTGTTTCTTGGAATTTATATAAAATTTGATCATTCCAATGACTATTTTTCAAATGGATTTTTTACCATAGGAACTTTCACTGGAATATCAAATTTTCGTTGGAATTTTTACTTTCACCCGTGTTTCAAAGGTTGGAAAATGTACCGTTGGAATCGTCAAAATCCAACAGAAATTTTAATGAAAAACTCATTTTAGCGGAATATTTTTGTTAAAATTTCTGTTGTAATTCATTGTTAATTTCTATAGTAGAATTGAAATATCGATTTGAATTGCCGTTGGAATTTTATTGGAATATATTTCAGTTGGAATTTTCTTTTGAAATTTGTAATGGGATACCAGAACATTTGAACTGAAAATGATGATTTCATTGACTTGGAAAATAAGATTATAACATATATATGTTGCATATGCTAGTTTTGGCTACCAAAGAGTACATAGAGCACAACTACAACAAGTAGAAAAAAGACTCATATTTTTACAATGAAAATTTTCTTCGGATTTTCCAAAGCGTTAGTTGTTTCTCCATCGTGCTCTTATTAATGGTTGTCTCAATTCAACTTTCAATTTCTTTTCTCGTATCATAAGATCATTGAACTCATCCTCAAGCTTGTTCATTTTTTAAAGCAGTCCTCATATTATTTGTTTGGAACGAGCACACATTTCCGAATCCATCTACTTGTAAAATCCAAAATATTCATTTCTCTGCAAGAGAAAAAAATAAAAATAAAACATGAATTTTGTTTAAAAAAAAGTAACATTTGAGACTTAATAAAAATATAAATTATATCCCATTATTTGGGCATGCCCAATATCTTATTTCGGGATTGTTTTTTCTCCAAGATGTCTTCAACGGGATCCCTTCACCATAAGAACATTTTGTGCATGAAAAAAGAAGTAATCCCCCTATATATTAATCCAGAACGCGCTGAGCCTATGTGGCTGCTTCTGGTGCTTCGGAATCCTATGTGCCAAAATTATATACTTCGTTATTAAGCTTGGGTAAATTTTAATTTAATTCCAAACAAAAGATAATTAGGTTCGGATTACCATAAATATGTTGATTATTTATGGTCATGTTACATGTATTAATTGTATTTTAATATAATTCCTTATTATAACTATTAAATTGTATATATATTTTAAAATTTAATAACTTTTGTATTTTTTTATCAGTTTTACATATGTAATACTAGTACAACACGGGTGCTTGCTATTTTTTTTTTAAAATTTAAAATTAATGAGAAAAAGTAGTTGAAAATTTAAATACATTTTATAAAAATATACTACCTCCTATTTTTTTTAAATGTCATTTTGACTTTATCAACAATTAGCTAAATAAATGTCATTTTGGATCTTTTGTGTATATTTTTCTATTATTACCCTCATCTAGCTAATAAATACACTACTCCCTCATATTCATAATAATTGTCGTTTTGAGAAGTTGCACAATAATTGAGAATATTTTTTTTGCCCATAATAACCCTCTTTAATAAAGATAGAGATGAATGTTTTGGAAAAAGATAAAGAGTGAACATGAAAAGACGTAATATATTTATTAACTAAATGAGGGGTAATAATGGAAAAATATGTTCAAAATATCCAAAACGACATTTATTTTGTTAATGATTGATAAAGCCAAAATGACATTTAAAAAGAATAGGAGGTAATACGTCTTTTTATATTCTCTTTATCTTTTCTCAAAACATTCATCTCTATCCTCATTAATGAGGGTTGTAATTGGCAAAAAAAAAAAAAAATCTTAATTACTATGCAACTTCTCAAAACGACATTTATTAAAAATAGGAGGGAGTATATATTATTATATATTTAGTATGACACTTTTTATTTGTGCAACTTACCTGTATTATATTATAATAATTTTTTTTAAGTTACAACATATAACTACATTAAACATAAATATATCAATTGAGAAATAATTTTATTTTTCTAATGAATTTTAATAAATATTATTATTTTTTATTATTATAAAGATAAATATAATTTATTTATTTCATATATACAATATGGATGTCAAATCGAAGATTATCAAAAGATGATTACTTTGATATATTATATATGTAAAACTGATAAGAAATATAAAAGTTATCAAATTTTAAAATACATTTATAATTCAATAGCTGATTGAAGGAAAAAAAAATCAAAAGTCAGGGATATATTAGTCACTTAGTGCCTCACTATATAAAATTACAAAGAAATAAAGGGTTATATTAGTACAAGTAATATTAAACTACCTAAGTTACCTAAATAATATTTATGGAATGTCCAAACATAAATTATTAATTATTAATATATCAATATTATTTGTCCAAACCTAATTACGAAGCATGATTTTTTGACAAGTAGGATTCCGAAGCACCAGAAGCAGCC